TTCAAAAGGCTTATGTTATTCTTAGTACTACGCAAAGCGATACTTTTCCATCTATAGCGGTTATTTGACTCTCGCCCCTGGTTGACAAAAGCCTTGTGACCGTGATACTCTTGCGTCCTGCCACCTGCTGTGGGTGTGGTTCACTAGGACAGAAAGCGGCTTTTTCGCGTTTCGCAGCGCGAAACATTTTCGCTGCGGGAACCTCAGGTCCACCGCTGATCATCAGTGGACCCGAGGTTCCCGCAGCGAAAATGTTTCGCGCTGCGAAACGCGAAAAAGTCGCTTTCTGTCCTAGTGAACCACACCCGCGTTCTATTACCACGCCTCTCTTTCGTTCTGTTACGTTTGCACTCTTTCCAGGACCCTTTTAGAGCTCGTCATGATTGCAACCCTGTAGCTTTGTTAACTGACCCATAAACTGTCTATTAGTCATTTTTGCACAGATGAGTGACCCGTTTTGATGCACATCATATCCTCCAACTTCCTCAAATGCATCACGGAGTGCCAGACCATAGAGGAACAGCGCATCGTACAGAGACATGTAAGTCAGCGTAGCAAACTGTAAACAATGGATGGAACAACATTTTTTGAGGCTCAATCTCTCGTTACTCAGTACTTCTACTCGCATTCAATTTCTAAAGAAAGCTAAAAATGTTATACCTGAAAGTGAAGTAAAATACTGTATGTGCTCATGCAGTGCTGACAGTACTTATGCAGGGGCAGTGCAAAGTGGTGTGTGGAGTACGTCCATCAGTCATCAGTGGTGGTGCCGGCTGGTGCAACCATGGTGTTCCACTCGTGTTTGGCTGCACAGTCTCAGCATCATGTGCATAGTGCTGCCTTTAAAGTACTCACGTGACTGCCAACAATTCCAGTAACGCGACTGAATTTATCTTGAAATTCTTCGTAGAACTTTCTGTCATAACCGTGAGCCGTGATGATGATGGCATTCTCGAACGCCGCTTTCACCTCTTGCTTGTCGACGGTCGTTGCTTCCCACGGATAATGATCGCTCGTCTGAATTGTTTTGCTGCGTATTCAAATCTCACGTTGCACTCATCGACATACGAAAAACGTGTTAACCCTTTCACGACAATGGCACCCACCGGCATAGTCAACCCTGCGTTGCGCAGTTCGCAACGGCACGTTGAGAGATCCTCAACGCACGCTGTATGGGCGGAGACACAGAC